CCGGGATCAGCAGCGCTCGCCCGGGGTAGAGGGTCCCTCTCCCGGCTGGGGTCGGCGGCGCCGCCGCGCTCAGTTGGTGGCTCCGTTTTCCGAACCCCTAACGGAAACGAATCCCCCGTAACACGCGGCGTTCCGAGCCCGACCGTCCCCCCCGCCCCCCATCGCAGCGCTGCGGGGGGGCATCGGGGCTCGGGGGTGTTAGTGGGGTAATAAGTATCAGGGGGTAGCCGTGTTAGTCTGTATCTACAAAAACAACAAGGAGTCTGGTGGCACCTTAAAGACTAACAGATTTATTTGGGCATAAGCTTTCGTGGGTAAAAACCTCACTTCTTCAGATGCATAGAGAAGAAGTGAGGTTTTTACCCATGAAAGCTTATGCCCAAATAAATCTGTTAGACTTTAAGGTGCCAGCAGACTCCTTGTTGTTTTAGTGGGGTAACAGCTACGTGCGTTCCTGAGATCTGAGCAATCTGCCTCTGGGTCCCAGGTTGACCCAGTCGTTTAGATTCCGCCTCAGGTTTAGTTGGGCGCTGTCCTCTCGTGTTTGTAATGTGTGGCGCTGATTATTTTCCTGTATCCTGCAAAATTCTGTTATTTAGGTAAGTGCCGTGGGCTTCGTACTGCTAGAAAGCTTCGCAGCCACCGTCGGGATCAGAAATGGCACGACAAGCAATACAAGAAGGCTCACTTGGGTACTGCCCTGAAAGCCAACCCCTTTGGAGGAGCTTCCCATGCGAAGGGAATTGTCCTGGAAAAAGTGTATGTGAAATCCAAGTGTATACTGATGAGACAAGCTGTGAACTTGTACTGTTTATCATGCTTAGTGTCTGGTAGGGTTGTTTTACTCTACCTAATAACATATGATCATAATATATTTACAGATTTTGTTAATTTGGGTGCAACTCTTATAGATTTAAAAAAAAAAAAGTAACCTTGATTTCTGCACCATCCATTGCCTTTTTTGAAGTCATTCAGGGCAGAGTTTCAGGCTTTCTCTTCATTTTTGTAGTTGAACTTAATAGTTAGGTCCGGGTCATCAAATATCTATCTACTTTACACACAGTACCATCCCAACATTATTGTACATAACACTTGAAAGACCAGTGGTTCTTAGACAGCTATATTTGGGATTTAGAAGATTGTTTGTTTGTAAATCCTGTGTTTTAACATAGTTCTCCCTTATGCTTAACAAAAATGAACTATGCCTGCAGTTGTTGCTGCCTTTTTTTCCTAATCTATTTCTCCCGAAGAATATGAATCAATATATCTTCTTGGTCTGGGGAGTAGCTATGCTTTGTATATGACCCTTCAAAAAGGGGGTGTCATTTCTCCAACATGGGCATCTGCTCTCCAGAAAGAAAATATAAACTTCTTAGACTAGTAGGAGGAAAAAAATGCTATTAAAGGAAATGTTTAGTGATGAGTGAATTTCAAAGATAACATCAGTTTGAGTCCATTCAAAAGTTGTATATCTTGGTTGTGACTGCCATTTTAATAGGAACATAGAAATATAAGGTTGGAAAGGGATCTGGAGAGAGAATCTAGTCCAGCCCTCTGTGCTGAGGCAAGACCAAATATACCAACACCATCCCTGACAGGTGTTTATCTAATCCGTTCTTAACACTTCCAATGATAGAAATGCCACAACCCGTCTTGGAAGTCTATTCCTGTGCTTAATTATCCTTATAGTTAGTTTTTATCCTAATAGCTAATCTAAATCTCTCGTTGTAGATTAAGCCCACTATTTCTAGTCCCACCTTCAGTGGACACAGAGAGCAATTGATCACTCTTTATATTTGAAGACTGTTACCAGTTCCTCCTGCATCTCTTTTCTCAATATTAAAGATTCCCAGTTTTTTCACTTTTCCTCATAGGTCAGGTTTTCTAAATCTGTATAATTTTTGTTGCTGTCCTCTAGACTGTCCAATTTGTCCAAGAATTGGGAGGCTTAATGCAGCTCTTTAGACTCTTTGGCCATGCTGCCAGTTAATGGTGCAGTGTTTTGTGTTGTTTTTTACTTTGAAGAGGGACGTTGGTTTCATGAGATGTATTAAACCAGAAATTAACAATTTTGGTTAAAAAAATGTTTACTTATTTTACCAAACAAAACACTTAAAAAATTATAAGTGGCAGTTTCCTTTATGATTATTCCTGAATGTGGAAGCTGAATTGGAGTTGGGTGTATAAAAATATGGACACAGAGGGAAAAGAGGTGGAAGGATTCTGCAGCTGTTTCTGAGGAGAAGAGCTGGTACATTGTAAAGAGCTGCGGGTATCAATTTGAAGAGCCAATTCTTTGTTACAGCTCTGTTGCATTTATTAAAGAAACTGCTTCTTTTGTCCCCTCTACTCCAATTTCAAATGCTCTAAGGAAGTTTAGAAATTTGTTTTTTAATTTAGTGTTTACTATGTACATTATACAGTTGATGTCAGCAGATGGCTACTTTCAGTTACAGCAATTACTTTTTTTTTTTTTCCAGTGGTGTAGAGGCTAAACAGCCCAATTCTGCCATCAGGAAATGTGTCAGAGTTCAGCTGATCAAGAACGGCAAGAAAATAACAGCCTTTGTTCCTAATGACGGTTGCTTGAACTTCATTGAGGTGAACAATGAATCCCTAAAACTTTTGGTTGTAAATTGGCTCCATGTAATACAGCTCAAAGTTACATTATCAGCCCTATCTGTGCAGGGGCCTGTGGTCATCTGAAGGAAATTATTATTACTTTATGCTTAGTAATATTTTTAAATGTCAAGTATCTTAAAACATGAGCATTTACAGTACATTTACATGTAAAGGGTTTGTTCAACCAATGCAATTTGTTTTTCTAAATATTCTTAAACTTTTATTTATTTGGGTTCTCATTTGACTGAAAATTGTTTAATTGAACTTAGTAACAATCTTCCTTTCTTTCATTGTAGGAAAATGATGAAGTTCTAGTTGCTGGCTTTGGTCGGAAAGGTCACGCTGTTGGTGACATTCCTGGTGTCCGCTTCAAGGTTGTCAAAGTAGCCAATGTTTCCCTCTTAGCCTTGTACAAAGGCAAGAAGGAGAGACCACGATCATAAATTCCTGTCATGCCATCTAGGCTACTAATAAACTTCAGTTTGATAAATGGTGTGGTTTTTCAAGTCCTCCATGCAATGAAATATTGGGGCACATGTTCTGATAAACATTTTTTGAGTGTACTGTTGCTTTTTGAAACACTTAAAATATTGTGCTAGTGCCTGAATACATTAAACTGTTTTTTTTTTAAAAAGGGCTTTATTTACTCTAAATTAAAAATTCCCCTGTATAAATGCAGAAAAGTGGATGTTCCCAATTTAACGTGCGATTAGATCTAGTATCTTTTCTAAAGCCATGTCTACACTACAAAATTATGTTGACCTAACTTACCTGTGTGTATAGCCCCTGCAGTTATAAAAGTGCTAGTGTGCGCACAGGTGGTTCCTTGTGTTAGTGGTGCGCATCAATTACCAGGACCACTTGCATCAATTGTATTGGAGCATTGTGGGACAGCTCTTGAAAGCTAGTAACAGTCAACATAAGCAATGTAATATCTCCACTGACACTGTGTCAATCCAATTACATTAACCATGACTACTCTGCTTGGTGTTTCTAAATCAGAGTAGAGAGGCACTTCCATCGATGGGGGCCAGATTTAAGTTGAGACACTTCCACAAATCTTGTTAAATTAATACATTCACCTGCTTTCCTTCCCCATGAACTTTACACTCTCACAAAAAAGAAGCTGAAGAATCTAGAGATGGCAAACGAATAATGGGTCAGGATATCTTTACAGGGTTGCTGGCTTGTTTAAGATGAAATAATTTAATACTTTTTGCTTTAGCTTCCTTGGTGGTATCTGGGGTGTAACAGCTGCTCCGACATCCTTCCTCCATCCAGCTTATCTAACAGCGTGGAGCTTTGTACCATTGTGATCATTGTATGCGCGGGGTGAGGATGCCCATTGTCCTTCAAGGCGAAGCTACAGGACTAAAGTGAGGGGTCCTGAGGCAGGATGCGGAAGGTTTGTAGTTGCTGCAATCCTGACGGCCTCAGTCTCCAACTGTAAGAGCCCAGCGGGGGTGGCTGCAGCCCTGCTGTCTGCTCCAAGCACGGGGTTCATGGGGGTCTTTCAGCTGCGTTACAGTGACAGGAAGGTGTTGGCTGCAGGCAACAAGAGCCTGGCTCACTGCAACTCACCTCACTCTGAACACGGCCTAGAATATATATAGTTGCAGAGCAAATATGAACTCATTGACTAGTTTAAAGAAGCAAAGAGGAGAAGCTGAGTGAATAAAATATGCAGGGCAAAATTAGTTCCCTCAGCTATAACAGATAGATGGCTTGGGCTGTTTTTCTTTAACCATCCTTCATGGGTTCAGTATCACCAACTCTTGTGATGTTATTGTATATTTCACAATATTGGTATTTTTCTGATAGAGTCATCTCCTGGACTCATGAGAATCTCAGCTTCACCTAAAAAAAATAATTTTCTTTCCCTTGTGATTGTGGAGAAAACATGACCCCTAAAGGCACAAACACATCAATGGTGTTATGTGATGAGACCTTGTGCTTTATAATCCAACCTCATGATTTTGGGGGCCCTTGGCTTGTGCTTTCTGAACGCTTGGGGTTGGCAATGCTGCAATGTGAGATCAAACCACGCACGCCACCTCCCGCTGATGCCAATGAGTGCAGAGCCAGGGGCAGGCACCAGGCCTGGGGAGGGAGGGTGCAAGGACACACATTTACCTGCAGAAATGGAGCAGGCCCCTTGCCCATATTGCGCCTGCCCAGGAGCGCCAGGGCGCACAGCCCAGATGGGGGCAGCCACCTGGGGGGTTGGGAGGCTGCGGCACCGGGAGCAGGTCACACAGCAAAGGGCCACCGCATGTCACCCGGAAGGGAAAGAGCTGGACAGGCTTGGCGCCCCGAGGGGGCTGGGCGATGCATTCTGGGAGTTGTAGGTTCCCTGATAAAGGCTCCCATTTCCGGCTGTGCCGTTTACGTTCCCTCTTCTCTGCGCCGGAGGTGCGTTTCCGATCAGGCGCGGCCAGGTCGCCTCGCGCGGGGTCCTCGCAGCGACGTGTAGGAGCCGCAGTGCATGCTGGATCTTTCTCTTTGTGGCTCGGGCCAGCAGCAGCAGCGCGATGGGTGAGCGGCCAGGGCTGGGGGTGAGGTCGGGTCCCCCGAGCACGGGGCCGGCCCAGGCACAGCGTGTCCCCAGGGGCTGGGGCCCGTAGGCAGCCCCCACCCGCCCCTGGCCGGGATCAGCAGCGCTCGCCCGGGGTAGAGGGTCCCTCCTCCGGCTGGGGTCGGCGGCGCCGTTTTCCGAACCGCTAAAGGAACGAATTCCCCGTAACACGCGGCGTTCCGAGCCCGGCCCGCCCCGCCTCCCCCACTCCCGGGATCGTAGCGCTGGGGGGGGGGATCGGGGCGCTCGGGGGTGTTAGTGGGGTAACAGCTACGTGCGTTCCTGATCTCTGAGCAATCTGCCTCTGGGTCCCAGGTTGACCCAGTCGTTTAGATTCCGCCTCAGGTTTAGTTGGGCGCTGTTGTCTCGTGTTTGTAATGTGTGGCGCTGATTATTTTCCTGTATCCTGCAAAATTTTGTTACTTAGGTAAGTGCCGTGGGCTTCGTACTGCTAGAAAGCTTCGCAGCCACCGTCGGGATCAGAAATGGCACGACAAGCAATACAAGAAGGCTCACTTGGGTACTGCCCTGAAAGCCAACCCCTTTGGAGGAGCTTCCCATGCGAAGGGAATTGTCCTGGAAAAAGTGTAAGTACAACTGAGGTGCTCGTGGAGGTTAGCTGGAGAAATACACTCCAGCTACTGTGAGTAGTTGCTTGTGGCAACTCCACCGAGCGCTAAAGTAAATGCTGTTTAACTTCATTGTAACTGCCCAACGCTGAAAGTTATTTATCACACGTTATATATAACAGGCATTAGTGCTTGAATCTGGAGGACTATATTGCCTTTTGCATTATGTACAATTGTTAGATACATTTTTAGTTAGGTTCTGTTGGCATTCAGAGGTCTTTGTGCTTGATTTCTGCAACATACTGTTTTATTTTGGAAGTCATTTAATAACGTTATTTATCTTCAGAGTGGAAGGCTTCTTAAATTTGAAGGTTAAGGAGATGTACTGCTGAAAAAAGGAGTGGGCCTCAAAAGTGCTGAGTCCTCTCAGATCCCATTGAAAACTGTTAGAACAATAGAAATTCTGAATTTTTGAAAATCAGGTCCTGTGGAAAAATCCACTGTGTGATGTTTCTACTAACTTAGTGCTGGGCATTTTCTGAATGAAGCCTGTCAATCTACTGATTTATGTGGTGTTTTTTGGACAGATGGCTATTATGCATTAAATTGACAGCACCAGAGCTATTTCTTGTTTATCAGGAGTGAAAAATGTTTGCCATCATGCCACTCGATGTCTATAATTCTGGTTTAAATAGAAATGCTCACCATACTTTATACAGCAACTAATACCTGGGCTTGATTTTTTGTTTCAATCTGTATTTTGTCTGCAGTTACCACCCGTCTCTGAGGTCCCCTTCTCTCTTCCCAAATAAAAATCAGAACATAAAGACCTCACGCCTGGGTTCCTGTTGGCATTTTTAAGCCTCTTATTTAGGAGGCTAGACTATCCTGGTGGCTGCTCAAGCCTCCAGGGTGCCATTGTACTGTTTCTAATTTGCAGTGTCATTAAGTTAGCATTTGTCCCCATGGAACGCTTCCCTCTCCACTCCCCCACCCCTCCTAGTATTGGCTCAAATATTTAGGAAGCGAAGGGACCATTTGGGGCATTATTCTTTCTTGGACCAAGATACTAGACAAGCTGTGTTTCAGTAATTGTCCATTAAATGTTGGGTTTTATACTACTTCATGAAAAACAGATACTATTTACATTCTCCATAGAATGGAGTTGTACAAAGTGATCCAGCGTGTTTAATGTAGCGGTTCTTGATGTTCTAATAGAGATGTGCTAAAATAGTCAAGCAGAATGTCAGTGATGCCTTTTCATGTGTTTCCATTTCAGTGGTGTAGAGGCTAAGCAGCCTAATTCAGCCATCAGGAAATGTGTCAGAGTCCAGCTGATCAAGAACGGCAAGAAAATAACAGCCTTTGTTCCTAATGATGGTTGCTTGAATTTCATTGAGGTGAATAATTTATCAGCAAAAACTTCTCTCAAGTGTGTATTTGGCTGAACTGGGGGATGGCACGAGCAGGGGCCATGCCCACTGCACTTTGATGAGATGATGGGCAGAAGACAGACATTAGAAGTGCTCTTTCACCTTCCATCTGCCACATCATGCCTCAGCTGTGCTGTTACAAAGTAAAGGAGTGTCCTAGCTAATATTTGTTCTTACCAAAACATTGAAGGGACTAAAGTTCCAAGTCTTTATATCTGACCACCACAGTTCTTTTTGTTTTGTCTGGCCTTTCCTGGGAGGGGTTGTGATATGCTTAAAGCTATTGGGTCAAATTTGGGATGCTCTGATTTCTCACAGTAGCCAAAAGATACATTGTGTTTCAGACATAGCATGAATCTGATGTTGATTGCTGTGCAACTGCAGTGTTTCCTGTTTTTAATTCTAGGAAAACGATGAAGTTCTGGTTGCTGGCTTTGGTCGGAAAGGTCACGCTGTTGGTGATATTCCTGGAGTTCGCTTCAAGGTTGTCAAAGTAGCCAATGTTTCCCTCTTAGCCTTGTACAAAGGCAAGAAGGAGAGACCAAGATCATAAACTTTTGTTACTCTGTTAAGGATGTCAATAAAAATGTTCATCTAAAGAAACCTCCTGTGTTTTTTTTGTAAATACTTTTTCTTTTTGAGAATAGATTTGATTTTCTAAATGAATTGTTTGTAAATGACATGCGTGTAACTGTGTTTCAACATCTGTAGTGCCCTGTTTGCCACTAACTTCTTTTTCTTGTAATAAGAAATGTCTTACAATTGACCAGGATAAAGGTGCTCAAGTTTCTTAATTCCATCAGTACTTCTGTGCACTACTCTAGCATTTGTTATATCTGTTTTACTTAGCTAGAGGCTTACAAGATATTTGTAAAGATACTCTAAAAGCAGATTTTTAGCATACAAATAGTATTGGATCTGCTTGGGTTTGAGTTAAGAGTGGAGCTGGTTGGAAAACTAGTTTTTTCTTGTGGAAAATTTCAAGGTTTTGGCAAAACTAAATCCAGACTTTTTCAGTTCTAAAATGATGCTTCAAGGAGTCTGTAATATGGGAGCTTCATGCTCCCATTCCCTTCTATATGATGGGCTCCCTGGACTATTTCTCCCATGATGCATCAGTTTCCCCTTTTGATGTGGGGAGGAGGTGTATTGTGAAGTCCAATGTGGAGCCTGTCCCATAGAACAGGAAGCATGAGGCACTATGGCAATACTTCTGAATCAATGTTTTTGCTTTCCGTGGAAAATTAGCCCAAAAACTTTCAACTCCCAGGACATTTTTTGGTCAGGGAAAAACAAAACATCCATTTAAACAGTTTTGATGAAAAATTTTCAAACAGGCCCAGTTAAAGCACAGCTAAGAATAGTTTATTGAAATAGAAGTTTTCCTTCTAACTAGTAAATCTGCTTAGTTAAGCACTTGCTGAGGTAAACTTGGGAGTGCTTGGCAAAACTGGCTTATTAGCCAGGCTTGGTGCTGGGGAGATGTAAGCAGAGGTAGTAGGGAAGAATCCCACATGCATCATCCCAGTTTGTAAGCCTCTATGGATACCATGCCAATGACTGGAGTAGATGTGTTCTCTCACTGTTGAGGTGGGTCAGTGGATCTCCTTGATCTATGATGCCCTACTCTCCAAATGCTGTCATGCAATGAACGCTTGCAGATTCCCAACCCTCCTGTTGCTCCACTGAGCAGTTTCTGCTACTGGGAGACCCTGCACAGACATGGGGGTAGTATTTGTCCTTACATTTAGAATCCTGGGCTGGAATCATGTCACTTGTTGAGTCATTGTCTGGCAGAAACAGTGTTCAGACGGATATGCACCAGTGTACCGTGAGAATGTTTCTGCTATGTTTAAATAAAGAAGTGTCGAGACTCTCATGATGGGTAAAAATGTAGCTCCTCTGGGAGGAAGCAAGTTCCACTAATAGGAGATGAGTCTGGCAGTTGAGTTTTAGTCCCAGATCTACCACTAGTTGCTGTGACCTTGAGCTAGTGACTTAACCTACCTCTGCCTCAGGTTCCCTGTCTTTTAACAAATGGGGGTAATGATACCCTTCTAGTCACCTTAAAGGAAAGGCTGCATTTTCCCCCTTCAGCACTAGTAAAAATCCATGCTACACCCAGGCAAGTATTTTACAAAGAAGGGTATCTCTCTTGGTCATGAAAGGACACTGCTTAGTCTATACTGATATTGTGTTGTTTTTGCTGATGTATGTGGGAAGGTTGAATGCAGGTACTGTATTTGAAGTAAGGGTTAATTCTATTAACTACAAAATCTGAAAGAAATAGTGGAACAGTTGTTGGCTTATTTTTAGATTGATACTTTCAGCTTCAGAACTGGTAAATGATTGTTCAATGTACTTTGTGAATAGGCTTCTTTTACTGCTGTATGTCTAAAAAAGCTGGAATTTTATCTCTACAGCCATGTTTCCCCAAACCAGGCTATTCCTGTGGAAACATTGAGTAAGTTTCCTCTTACTCCCAGTATCAGACCAAAAACTCTGAGGTTTGTCGGGAACTGGATTGTTCTTTTGTGAACCAGCACATGACTGTTTGCTGCCCCTCTCTAGCAGGAAAGAGAAATATACTGTTGAGGTTTTTTTTACTTATGTAAAAAAATACCCTTGGAATGGAAAATGCTCAACGGAAGAATTGAATGTAGTGGTGGACTGTTACATTTATGCAAGGGTTTGGGGTGCTAGTAGGAAGAGTTCTAGTTCCTAGAGGTTTACAACCAAATTTTCAAGTGACGACTGATTCTGTGAGCCTCAGTTCTTAGGAGCCCAACTTGAGACTGTGTCTGATTTTCAGATCTGGAGGACAACCATCTCCCACACAATAAAATGTGGGTCCTTGCCCCAACAACCAAATACAAGGTGTCTAAATATGCAAAAACTGAGGCGCATAACTCTGATGTTAAGGCCAGGGGGACTATTGGATCATCTAGTGTTATACAGACCAGACAGGCCATCAGATTTCACTCAATTGCTCCTACATAGCTGGAGCCTGGATCCTAAGCAAGGAGAAAAATCATAAGGAAAGGTTGCAGGTGAAACCATGAACAAGCATCTCAAACAGTTGATTAAAAGAAAGCAGAGAACCTACAAGGGATGGATCAGCAAGGCAAGCTACCTCTTGGGAGGTCAGAAAGTGTAGGGAAGAAGTCAGAACTGCCACAATCTAACCAGAGCTGGACCTTGCAAAGGAAATTAAAACCAATACTGAAAGGTTATTGAGCCATATAAATAAAACAAGGAAAAGTGGGACTACTAAACACTGAGGATGGGGTGGAGATTAAAGATAATCTAGGCATGGCCCAACACCTAAATGAATACTTTGCCTCAGTTTTTAATAAAGGTAATGAGTTTTAGGGCAGTAGCAGGGTGGCTAACAAGGATATAGAAATAAAATTGTGATGTGAGATGGAAGCCAAACTTAAACACTTACCAGATTTGCCCTTATTTTGGGGTATGCTAATTTATTAGGGTTACTCTTCTGGTGGGGGGGGGGGGAGGCTGTGTTCTGTAATTCTATTAATGTACTGCTTGTGTCACTTGTGTTTTCATATGGAGCTCTACTTCTCCCTCTGCAAGTCCCTTCCCAATGGAGCTATCCTGCAGGACCTAGGTTCCCCTGGGCTGGGTTCCTCCAGAACCAGACACCCACCAAGTCTGAGCGAACCGGGTCAATCAGCACTTTCAAGCTGACCCTTTTTATGCCCCTGGACTCAGTGGGCTAGGTCAAGCAGCACTTTCAAGCTGCAACCCTTATATGCCATAGGTTCGGCATGTCCTTCTCCCCCGCTTGCATGTTACAATTGTACTGGTAGTAACCCACTTGATGAGCAAACCCCACAGTATTTTTGGGCGCTACAGGGATCTTTAGCTTAGGTAAAAGAAGCATTGCTTCAGAGTAAATGGGGAAGCTAAAAACACAAAAGAGTAATTGTGACGTGCAGTCTATATGGTTTTATAAAAATATGATAAGTGAATATAATGTAACGAATATGCTTCATGCAAAAGGTCTCTTGTTAGGTATCATTACAAAGTTTATAATCTACTGAGTGTGATCATGCCATTTGTATAAATGTACCACTCTTGTACCTAAAACTAGAAATATGAAATATAACTCTGAGGGCCTATTTATGTAAAGTGTGAGCCATTAATGATGGTTTGGAATCTTGATGACTCCCATTAACCAGGACCATTGTCTGCAGATAGTTGTGTTTACCTGTTAGTCTTCCTGTATGTGTGTGTGCTGGCAAGTGGGTAATGAAGTCTTGCAGTGACATGTGATCATGTCACCTGAACTGGAATCCATCTTTAACCTGGTGCTTTTCCAGTGAGGGGGGTGGAAACCCAGAGGGACAAAGGGTTCCCGCCTTATGCAAAAGATATATAAAGGGGTGGAAAAGAACACAAGGGGGAGAGGAGCCATCATGAAGAATCCCCTAGCTATCACCCGAGCTGCAACAAGAGCTGTACCAGGGGAAAGAATTGTGCCCAAGCCTGGAAGGTGTCCAGTCTGAGAAAAAACTTACTGAAGCATCTCTGAGGGTGAGATTATCTGTATTCAGTTTGATTAGGCATAGATTTGCGCATTTTATTTTATTTTGCTTGGTGACTTACTTTGTTCTGTCTGTTACTACTTGGAACCACTTAAATCCTATTATCTGTATTTAATAAAATCACTTGTGGCACCTTAGAGACTAACAAATTTATTAGAGCATAAGCTTTCGTGGACTACAGCCCACTTC